AAAAGAAAACAATTCCTCCCTGTAATGAGAACGCTTAGTATCTACCCTCTAACAACTGTCCCAAGTATCAGACAGCAGGAGTAGCTACAGTCATCAAATTGTTAGTTATATTCCTAGTATTATTTATCTTACGGCTGAGGTTTGTAACTTTTGATCACTGTCCCAATTCCTCCTTCCCCACTTCCTGTCTCTGGTAACCACAAATCTGATCTCTTTTTCTATGACATTGGTGGTTTTTGTTTGTTTTTTGTTCTACATATTAAATGGGATCATAGGGTTTGTTTTTTTTTCTCTGCCTGACTTATTTCACTTAGCATAGCATCCTCAACGTCTATCCATGTTGTCAAAAGTGTTAGGATTCCCTTGTCTCTATGGCTGAATAATCTTCCACTGTATAAATAATCACATCTTCTTGGTCCATTCATCCACCGAGAATCACGTGGGTTGTTTCCAAGTCATGGCTGTTGCCAACACAGGGCAGACAAACCCTGATGTCCACACTGAATCATTCAAATGTGTTCAGACAGGAAGCTGGGCCAGGAGGTTGCATCTGATCAGTCTCAGGTCTCGTGGTTTCTGAGCTGCTGTCCTGGCAGCTGGAGGGGACTGTGGAGTGTGAACCTCCCCTCCACTGTAAGGTGGGGAGACTGAGGCCCTGACCCCTCTCTTTGGCCCCCACAGCACAGGGCTGCACAGAGCTGAATCCCTGCTCTGCCACGTACAAGCTGTGTGGCTTAGAGTAAGTTCCTCCACCTCTCTGGTCCTCCAGGTCCTCGTCTGTAGACCAGAAATGAGACGATCGGAGTAGACATGTAGGCCCACCTGCCCCAGGTCAGGGAGGGACTTCACCAGGGAAGATTAATCCTCCTGGCCTCCCCCCCCCACCCCCCCCCGGGGAAAAAGAAGGAAAAATAAAAAAGGGGGAACCCGAAAGCCGGAGCAAACTGCCTGCAGAACACGTGGACTCTGGCCCGCGTCTTGCCCAGGCTCAGGGATCAGGTGGTGTTTGTCAAAATCAGGGTGACTAGTTAGTGAGCGCCCTTGGCCACAGACAGAGCGCAGGCAGGCAGGGCCCTGGCCAGCTCGAAGCAGGCACTTTGACCCCCGGGTCAAAGTCTGCCTTTTCCTCAATGTTCTCAGTCCAGGCACGGAGATGGTTGTTACTTAAAGCCGCTCAAGCCCCAACCGTGAACACCCACCGGACTGGGCTCCCCCAGGAGGCAGAGGCAGGTGGGAGGTGGTTCTGCAGCAGCCCCTACACCGCAGGGACCAGCGAGGACAGCAAAGTCTCCTCCCGGCGTGTGGCCCGCGTGGCCGTGTGTCATCCTGAGAGCGCAGGTCGGAAAAGAACTTCCAGACACAGAGCATTGAAGAAGGGAGTGAGTTCATCGTAACAAAGAGCAGAGATAATGTGGGCACTGGGAGCATGGCAGGCCGAGCTCTTGACCCATCGGGGAGAGCTGGTAGGATGCTGTTGGAACAGCGGGCCGGCTCCAGGGAGAGCCGACGCTTTCGTGAGTTGTTGTGCAGTCACTAAGTCCTGTCTGAATCTTTGCGATCCATGGACTGCAGCACGCCAGGCTTCCCTGTCCTTCACTATCTCACTGAGTTTGCTAAAACTCATGTCCACTGAATTGGTGATGCTACCCAACCATCTCACCCTCTGTCATCTACTTCTCCTCCTGCCCTCAATCTTTCCCATCACCAGGGTCTTTTCCGATGAGTCGGCTCTTCGCATCAGGTGGCCAAAGTATTGGAGCTTCAGCTTTAGCATCAGTCCTTCCAATGAATATTCAGCGTTGATTTCCTTTAGGATTGACCGGTTTGGTCTCCTTGCTGTCCAAGGGACTCTCAAGTGTCTTCTCCAATACCAATTTGAAAGCATCAGTTCTTTGGTACTCAGACTTCTTTATGGTCCAACTCTGACATCCATACATGACTACTGGAAAAACCATAGCTCTGACTAGACGGACCTTTGTTGGCAAAGTGATGTCTCTGCTTTTTAATACACTGTCCAGGTTTGTCACAGCTTTTGTGGGTTAGCAGCCAATTTTTACAGCCTCAAAACAAAGAAAATTCCTGCTGGAAGGGTGCATTAGGTGATTGTTTAGGGGCCATAGAGTGAGCATGGGGTGGGCATTTTTGCCTAACTTGGGGTCAGGAAACTGGCTGGTGATGATCAGGGGGGCTTTTGGCAACAGTTGAGAAGGAAATGGCAACCCACTTCAGTATCCTTGCCTGGAGAATCCCATGGGCAGAGGAACCTGGAAGGCTACAGCCCATGGGGTCGCAAAGAGTCAGAGACGACTGAAGCGACTCAGCACGCACGCACAAAGGGACTCAGTCAGTTCCAGAGGTGATCTTGGTTCTGGGCTCCATTTCTGTTGCCTTGGTGCAAGGCCTCACACCTGTGACCTTGGACTGGGACTCCACAGCCCACCCTGCTGGGGCTGGGCCTGCCTCTCCCCAGGAGGACGTGCTGTGTCAATGGGAGGGCCTCCCCTCCAGCACCCATCACCAGCTCCACCTCCTCCACCCAGAAGCCACAGGAGGACCAACGTCCTTACCACCTGAATGGCCGGGACTCAGGGGCGCTGTGCTCTGGCCTGGACACGACAGGGAACCCGCATCAGAGAAACGAGAGGATGCTCCCCTGCTCTCGGTCTGCCAGGTCCTTGAAACAAGGGGTCACCCACTCACTGCTGGGCGTTGGGAGGCGGCTCAGTGGGCACATGTCCCCTCCCTTACAGAGACAAGGCCAGGCAGGCAGGCGGCCGCAGCCACAGGTGGAAGTGGAGTGAATGTGGAGGTGAGAAGAGGCAGGAGGCGAGCACGGTGCCCACACCCTCCGCATTCGGGAAGGAGCCCCAGCTGTCCATGGGACTCTCCAGGCAAGAATACTAGAGCGGGTTGCCACGCTCTCCTCCAGGGGATCTTCCCGACCCAGGGATGGAACTCACATCTCTCCTGTCACCTGCAATGGCAGGAAGGCTCGTTACCACTAGCGCCACCTGGGAAGATAAAGTGAAAGTGTTAGTTGCTCAGTCGTGTCCAAGTCTTTGCGATCCCATGAACGGTAGCCCGCCAGGCTCCTCTGTCCATGGGATTCTCCAGGCCAGAATACTGGAGTGGGTAGCCATTCCTTTCTTCAGGGGATCTTCCCAACCCAGGGAGAGAACACAGGTCTCCTGTATTGTGGGCAGATTCTTTACCCTCTGAGCCACCAAGGAAGCCCTCCTTACAGCATAGTTCAAGTTAAATGAAGTCATGAGTGTGGGACCCGGGCCCGACAGCCGTGTGTCCTTATGAGAAGAGACACTCGGGAGCTGGCCCTTTTGTCTCCTGAGGACAGAGAGGAGGTGGCCATCTGCACATCCGGGGAGCGCCCTCGCCAGAAGTAAAGCCTGCTGGCACGCTGACCCTGGGCTTCCCGCCTCCACAACGGCAAGAAAACATGGTCCTGTTGTTGAAACCCTGGCCTGCGGTGTATGTTGTGGGGGCCTGCCCACACTGACCCATTGGGCACCAGCCCTCCTTTGCTGCCAGGTCTGTGTGGGGCACCTGACCCCAGCCAGCCCACCAGTGCCTGCCCCGGACATGTGTCCCGTCCAGGGTGAGACCTTGGCTCGGCCAATCAGGGATGCTGGGGGCTCTTTGTTGGGAACGTGGAGCCATGACTTTTCACGGTTCCTCAAAGGCTCCTCTGTCCATGGAATTCTCCAGGCCAGAATACTGGAGTGGGTAGCCATTCCTTTCTTCAGGGGATCTTCCCAACCCAGGGAGAGAACACAGGTCTCCTGTACTGTAGGCAGATTCTTTACCCTCTGAGCCACCAAGGAAGCCCTCCTTACAGCGTAGTTAAAGTTAAATGAAGTCATGAGTGTGGGACCCGGGCCCGACAGCCGTGTGTCCTTATGAGAAGAGACACGCGGGAGCTGGCCCTTTTGTCTCCTGAGGACAGAGAGGAGGTGGCCATCTGCACGTCCGGGGAGCGCCCTCGCCAGAAGTAAAGCCTGCTGGCACGCTGACCCTGGGCTTCCCGCCTCCACAACGGCAAGAAAACACGGGCCTGTTCTTGAAACCCTGGCCTGCGGTGTATGTTGTGGGGGCCTGACCCATCGGGCACAAGCCCTCCTTTGCTGCCAGGTCTGTGTGGGGCACCTGACCCCAGCCAGCCCACCAGTGCCTGCCCCGGACACGTGTCCCGTCCAGGGTGAGACCTTGGCTCGGCCAATCAGGGATGCTGGGGGCTCTTTGTTGGGAACGTGGAGCCATGACTTTTCACGGTTCCTCACTGTATGCGGAGCTGGGAACACAGGACCATCTTGCAATGCCAAGGGGCCAGCCTGCCTGAGACCGCAGGGCCAGGACACATCCTGGAGCCCTCGGGCAGCCGATGGCCCCGTTTCTCCACCTCCTCGTATCTGCACCCTTTGGCCTTCCGCTGTGACCCTGGCCTTGGCCCCGAGGCCAGCGCTGGTCAACAGGGTGTGAGTGTTAGTGACGCCACCCAAGCTCGGAAGCTGCAGTGCTAGCGCCCCTGCTTGGAGTCGGCTCACGTCCAGGGAATGCGTGCCCGTTCATCAAACGGAAACGCAACGCCTGCGGGAGGGTGGAGTCTCCCCAGCCACCCTGCAGCCTGACACCGCCAAGCCAGTCCTGAGACCAGAACTGCCCGCTGACCCACCGTCTTGCAGCCAGTGACCAGAGGCCGCTGCTCTAAGTCACTGGGTCCGCATGGTTTGGCACGTGGCATCACGGCAGCAGGAGAGGCCTGGTACAGTACCAGGCCCAGCCAGTACATTCCCGTTTTCGGTGAGGCCAGGCGGAGTTCTGATCCTAACAGATCCATCATCTTGGCTCAGCCTGCCCTTACCCAACGAGAGGGGCTGAAGAATCAGAAGCACGGAATTTTCACCGGAGGTTTGCTTCGCTAGAAGATCGTTTAATGGCAAGTTTACAAAACACAGATGCGGAGACCACCACTGACATTTCCAGCCCTAGAGGAGTCTCCAGGCCGTGGTCAGGGGACGCGGAGGGAGCGGGGGCCGGGCGAGGCCGGAGGCGGGTCTGTCTCCAGCGGCGCCTCCGTCGGGGGCGGAGCCTCTGGCGCGGGGACCGCCCCGCTCGCCGGCCTGAGCCCCGCGCTCTTCCAGGCGGCGGCTGAAGACCTTCTCGTGGTACTCAATCAGCAGCTCGGTGAACAGGTTCAGGGGCACGAGGGCACCCAGGGAGGAGGCCCCCTGGGACGGCCAGATCAGATTCAGCCCGAAGACGCAGGCCAGGTTGGAGCTGTTCATCTTGTTTGAGATGCTCTCCTGGGACACCTGGGGCCAGAACATGCGGTAGACAGGGGTGTGACCGGGCGTTCCCTGCGCCTGGATTAGGGCTGGAGCCGCCTGCCCGCGCTGTGACACGTCCTGGCCTCAGTTTCCCGTCTGTAAAACGGAAGGGATGGGCCTTGACAGCCCCGGGGGCCCGCTGGCGCTGACCTCTTGATCTCCTTCCGGGATGGGAATGTCCCTAGCAGCCTCCCCACCCCACCCCACCCCAGGCTCCTCCTCCACTCCCAGGACTCAGGGGTGGGGCCCTGGCACCGTGGGTAGAGCAGGCTCCGGTATGCAGGTGTTCTTGGAGGACTGAGGACAGAGAGCCCAGCTCCGAAAGGGGCTGCCCGCTCATCTCAGCCAACACTCAGCAACCCCAGCGCCGCGAGAGGAGACATTTCTATTGTCTTAGGGCCCCCGGTGTGTGGCTCACGGTGCAGCAGGCCCCGGACACTCATGACACGTCCTGCTGAGGCCCCACGCGGGTGGCAGACTCTGAGCACCCCAGGTCTACGCACACAGCACCCCTGTCCGCACCCCACTCCGCCCCTGACCTGCCCTGTGACCTGCCGGGCAGAGGTGTGGCCCGGTCAGGCCTTGCAGGAGCCCCTTCGGGCCCAGAGTGGGCTCCAGGGCCAGGGGAAGGGAGAACCCAGGCCTGGTCTGCCCGGGCACCAGCTCGGCCCCCTCACCTCATGCAGGAAGCCCATGAGGTAGCTGAGGACGGCGTAGTTGTGTTCTGGAAGGTTCTGCAGGATCTGGCGGCAGCAGGTCACCCGCAGGCTGCTCTCCACACCTGCCACGGCCCAAGGGTGCTTTCTGAGCGTCCCCTTCCTGCGTCCCTCTGAGGACGGGCAGGGGCGTGGGGAATCGGGGACAGACGGCCCCGTGCCTGGGCCTCGGGCCCACTTCCTTCCCAGCCATGTGGCTGTTCTCAGCAAACCCCCGTTCTCCGAGCTCTGCCTGCTTCTTTACCTCGGGCACCATGACCGCTCCCCACCAGACGGCCCCCGGGAGCCAGATCACCTAATGGATGGGATGGTCGATACAAACGACAGGCCGAGGGTCCGTGGCCTACTTCTGTCAATAAAGCTTTATTGGCACAGACCCACAGCCATTCATTTGTCCATGGCTGCTTTTGCATGATGGCTGAGTCTGGTACACACAGCCTAAAACATTTACTATCTGACTCTATAGAAAAAGCACATGGACCCTGCTCTGGACTAACTCAACCTGTTTACAATCCACAGCTCAGGGCCCCACACCCAGCGGGGTCTGGAAGCAGCCAAGCAGACCGTGCGCCTCCAGTGCCCCCCGCCCCACATACCCCACTGAGCTCCATAGACTGCGAGTGTAGAGGTGCTACTCCACATGCATCCGCCAAGCTCCTGCTGCGGACACACGTGTGCACACATGGACACACCTCGAGCTGCCAGCACCCTAAACCTCCTCCCACTAAACCTTGGGCACGGTGACTGGGAACTAACACAGCCTCTGCTGAAAGACACAGAATTCCCTGCTGTGAACATTCTTGTTGGTTTTTCAACAAAAGTCATTCTTCCCTGAACTCAAGCTGTTGCCGGGTAATTTGAGCAGACTAGGAATCCCCTCGGAGTTAACATTTCCAAGGAACCAACAAGTCTTGTTGCCCTGGATCTCTGCTTTCCAGCCTCGACATCTTTCTTTCTAAGAGCTGTGGTCCCAGAGTAGATATGGTACATCGTCCACCCCTGGCTTTTACTGTGGTTCCTTCGAGAAAGAATACTCCCTAGTGAGCAGGAAGGAGCAGCTTGCTGTCACAAAGCCGCCACGAAGCACTTACTCTGTGCCAGGAATCATGCCAAGCAGTGTACGTGCCTTTCAATCTCAATGCAACCCTGCTTTTATATAGACGAGGAAAGTGAGCTCAGAGAGGTTAAGTGACCTGCCCAAGGTCACGCAGCTAAGCTGTACTGAAGCCCAGACTTGAGTCCCATTCTGTTCAGCTATGAGTTGGTGCTCTAAACCTTGCTATACCTTGGGGCAGCTATCCCCGTGGCAGTTTCCTTTTTTTCCTGGACACCACAGGCCACCTGGGAAGCCCATTTCTTCCAGAGTGTTCTCTGCAAGGACTTCTTGCATCACTTCAAGGAGACATGCACCCCACCTGGGCGGGGTTGCCAGATACAATAGAGGCTATCCAGTTAAATGTGAACTGAAAATAAACAGCAAATTCTTTTTTAGTGCAGGTATATCCTGTTCAATATTTGGCACATACTTATACTAAAGAGTTTAGTATACTTACTTACACATAGATACCTACTTATACTAAGAGTTCATTATTTATCTGAAATTCACATTTGACTGGACGTCCTGTGTTTTTTAAATGCTGAATCTGGCAACCCTATGCCTGAGTCAGGATTAAGTCAAGCTGAGTTGTTGAATGACAGCCGACAGGGTCCATAGCCTTCAAATAACTAAGCTGATAGAATGATAGGCAGCTATTAAAAAGAATGAGTAGAGATGGCAAATGAAGAGGAAATAACTAGTTCATAATTGCAATCTTTCTACAGGAACTGCTCTAAGATGGGGTCAGGCAACTCTGTCCATCATCAGGTTTTGGCTGGAACGAAAAGTGCTTTCTTGGGCAGGAATTTATTTGGATTGGAGTCACCATCCTAGGGGTACAGCCTCGAGCCTTCTAACTCTCATTGTTAGAAACAATCAGAGTGCCTGTTCAAATCTCAGCGTGTGCGTATGGGGCGGGGGGCGGCACGGGGAGGAAGTGGGGGCTTGGTTGTGTCTCATGACTTGAGACCCACCAGGAGTCAAATCCAGTCTGGGGGGAGCAGTGGGGGCAGAGGTCGTCCCATTTGACAGCAGCAGTCTTTGGTCACGTGCTTTCTCAGCATCCTCCAGCATCCCCGACTCGCCCTTGTTCTTGCTGTTTAGTCGATCAGTCGTGTCTGACTCTTTACGACCCTAGGGACTGTGGCCCACCAGGCTTCTCTGTCCATGAGATTTTCCACACAAGAACACTGGAGTGGGTTGCCATTTCCTTCTCCAGGGGGAAGACCCGCCTAGACTAGGGAGAGAGCCCACGTCTCCCGAATTTACAGGCGGATTCTTCAACACTGAGCCGCCTAGGAAGCCCTGGCGTGCCCTCAGTGGCTGTTAGGAGCGACCAGTGCCACGGCCGGCCTTCGGTGCCCCTGGTCCATTCCAGGACGCCGGCATCACCACGCCCGAGAGCTGCAGCTCACGCCACACCTCCCCGGCGTTCCCCACCAATCTGGGGAGACTCTCTCCTCAAATTCCAGTCAGGCTTTGTAGAGTTCTTTTATTAACAAAGCCTCTGCTTTCAGGCTTCTTTTTGCCTCTGCACTGTCCAGCTTTACCAAGAGCTGTAAGTGAGTGTGACGGGAACCCTGATCACCCTTGCCATCTGATGGGTCCTCATCCCCCGTCCCCCACCCCCTAGGGGGCGCTGGACCACCTGGTCCGCCGGTAGCAAGAGTCCTGGGATCAGTGCAGTCAGAATCTGCCCCGCCCACCCCCACCCCCGTCTCCCTTGCGTGATCTTGCAGCCACGGCCCACCCGCTCCCTGGCTGTCAAGCCGCTCCTCCTGCTCGCGGTGTTGGGAGTTGAGCCCAGTGTCTCCCCACTGCAGTGGGCCCCACACCTCTCATGATGCCCCCCTGCCCCACGAAGGGTGCCTCATGGTGCTTTCACAAGGGCCACGCATAGCTTTGTCTGAAACAGCAGGCGGGGGTGGTACCCCCCTTTCTAGAGGAGGAAGTTGAGGTGCTAGAAGTAGAGATCCTCCGGAGCAGTGCAGGGGGGTGCACTCTGACCGGGGAGACGTACCCCAGATCTAGAGACGCCCTCCGAGATCCCGCCTCTGGGCCCAGGGCAGCTAACAACCCCTGACCCTGTGTCCCCCGACCCTGGGCAGGGCTGGCCTGGCTGAGGCCGGTGGGGGTCCAGGAGGGGACAGCCCCTCTCCTGGCCCACAGCGCTGGAGGGAAACAGGAGGCCGGGCAGCCCCGCCTCCCCCCGCCGGCCTTCGACTGGCACCCCGGGCACCTCTGGCCGGCACCCCGGCGGGTACATACTGGTGATCTCGAGGATCTGCTCGTAGGCCTCGAAGGTCAGTAGCGGCTGGGGCAGCTCCCGCAGGAAGGTCTTCAGGATCACGGCCGGAAGGTGGATGTCCCCATAGTCATCGAAGTTCACGGGCTTCCCTGGACACAGAAGGGCGTGCATCTGAGTTCTGACGCCGGGCTGGGGACTCCAGCTGTCGAGCAGGCTCGGACTCAAAATGGCTTGAAACCTCCTGAGGGGAGGAGCCCGACGCCAGGACATGGCACTGTCCCGTCCTGCCGATGGGGTGTCACCTGCCCTCCCCTGCCTCTCCACGGCACCCAGCTGAGGCTGGGGGACACTGAGACATTTTAATGAATTAATTTGGTGGCACTGGATCTTCATGGCAGCATGCAGGGTCTTTTATCTTTGTTGTGGCACGTGGTATCTAGCTCCCTGACCAGGCCCCCTGTATGAGGAGTGGAGTCTTCGCCGCTGGACCACCAGGGAAATTTCAGGGGGACACTATTGATTCTCTGCCATATGACCCGGTCCCGTCTGGACGAGAGCACCCTGAGGTCAGGCCTGGCTTCCACTGTCTCCAGGATTGGGAGGGGAGGCTGGGGTCCAGGCACAGCTGCCCCCCAATCTGGGCTATTTTAGGCTCGGGGGTGGGGGGAGCTCCACTGGCTCGAGTGATGGGCTCTGTGGCCCCGGAGGCCCCTGTGAGGCTGGCCGGGCGGGAGACTGACAGGGAGGGTCTCGGGGAGCCACTCACCTTGGTTGTAGAGCCGCTGGATCTCGCGGACCGTCTGGACACTGGCCGATCTCCGGAACAGGCCCTCGGTGTGGAGTCCTGTAGGGAGGGTCCCCAGGCATCTCACAGGGCCCAGCACCTGAGGTTTCTAGAGCACTCTGTGACCCCCTGCCCACGCATCCCCCCACCGCGGCTGGCAGGGGACGCTCTCCAACCTGGCTCATCTTCTCCCCGCTAGCCCCGTACCCACCCATGTTTATTCTCTTAAATCAAGCCTTTTCCATATTCCCCAGTCCCACCTGATTCCCCACCTCTGCAGACCCCAGAAGGGGAGAATGGAAGAGGCTGATGCTTCAGGCAGACAGCTGGGGTCTGCCCGACGATGCGGCCTTGGGCCAGCTATGTGACCTCAGAGAAAGCACTCAGCCTCTCTGAGCCTCAGCTGCCTTGTCTGCAAAGAAAGCCAGGAGCGCCTGCTCTAGAGGCTGCGGGAAGGATGAACAGGGTGACTCATGGCCTGAGCCCAGCCCCCAGGACGCCCCCGAACATGCTGCTCCCCTTTCTTCCCAGTGTCTAGAGCTGACCTGGCCTATATGGCAGCCACTAGCTGCCCATGGTGGTTTACATTTGTGCAATTAAAATTAAATAAAGTAAAAAATCAAGTTACCCAGGCTCAGCACACGAGCCACATACGCTGTGCTGTGTGGGATGACGGCCACACGTGGCCAGTGGCTGCCATCCTGGACAGTGCAGAGAGCATGTCCATGTTCGCCAAGACAGCGCCGGGCCCCAGAGCCCCATGCTCGCCACTCAGCCCCTCCCCAGTCTCTTTCCACGCCGAAGCTGAGTGAGCTATTTGACACCTACATCCAGACCTCATTGGCTCTGGCATGGAGCTCTTCCTGTCTCCATCAGTCATGGGAAAGCTGCTGTGAACCCATACCACAGACCTACAGGTCTGCCTTCTGCCGCCTCGCTCTCCTGCCCAGCACCCCCCGCCCGCCCCTCTAACCCCTCTGTCCAGCCTCCACCGGCTCCACGCTCCTTCCTACCTTCACCCTCTGCACCTGCCGTTCCCCTTGCCTAGGGGCCCCTCCTCCCCTTGTAATAGGCAGAAATCTGACATGGCCCCCAGACTCTTGGGCCCTGGAGTCCCAGGTATTCATTTAAACACTAATCTAGATGCTGCAGTGAAGGGACTCTGCAGAGAGCATTCAGGTCCAACGTAGTTGACCTGAAGATATGGGGATTATCTAGGGTGGGTCTGGCCTAATCAGGTGAGTCTCTTGAGAGGGACCCAGGTTCCTCCTGGCAATGCAGACTCAAAGCGTGGGGGGCAAGGATTCGAGGTGTGGGTGTCTCTCCAGGGAGAGGTCACACGGCAAGGAAAGCAGGCCACCTCTAGGAACAGAAAGAGACCCCTGGCTGATAGCCAGCAAAGATGCAGGCAACTTGGAACTGCAAACGCAAGGACTGAACTTGACTGGCGCACTGGATGAGCATGAAAGTGGAGTCTTGCCCAGATCCTCCAGAAAAGAGCACAGCCTGGCCAGCATGTTGAGTTGAGCCCTGTTGAGACTCTGAGCAGAAAACCCAACGCCCGTGGCCAGACTTCTGACCTCAGACATTGTAATAATAAATTCATGCTGTTTTAAGCTCCTAAATTTGTGGCTATTTGTTACACAGCCGCCTGCGGGGCAGAGCTCAGCTTCCCCTGACTCTGTGACCGGCTCATCCCTGTCCTGTGAGTCTGTAGTTGTCATAGTTACAGCCCCTGGAAGGGACACAGGCTGTGTGATGCAGTCACCAGGACAACCCTAGTGCCTAGACCAGGGCTGAATGCAGCTGAGTGTCCAATGAATACATGTTTAATCCACATATTCATTCAACAAACACAGAGTGTGTTCCTACTGTGGGCTGTTTGTTAATTTTTTTTTTTAATAAGGGAATTAATACATTTTTTAAAAAAGGAAAACTCACTTCCACAGCTTATATGAATTTTTTTTATCCACAAGTTTTTTTTGTCCATTCCTGAGATACATAACGGAAAGGGCAGTACTACTCATGACAGAGTAGAAACAAATGTCGAAGGAGAGACCGTTCCAAATGACAACCACAGACCCTCCAGCCTGAGAGCCGAGGTCTCAGAGAAATTTTCATGCCTTGAGTGTGCAGTTCCTGGGGCATGCTGGGAACCACCCCCAGGGACCCCACTTCCCCTCTGACGCTCTGACCCCCACAGCTCCTGCATCTGAACCTGTAGGCGATCACCCTTCGCTGGCAGCCCTTTATCTCAAGAATGGTCTTCCCCCCGTTAGGGTGAAAGACACCTCCATGCACCTTTCCTGTGGATCTGAGCTCTGGCCTCAGGAGTCCAGGAGGAGCCACAAGGCTCATCCCCACATCAGTGAGCACACCCACCCCACTGGCAATGGTGTCTACAAACCCAGCGCATCTCTCGTGATGAAGGAGTCCCTTTTATGGGGGTGTTCCCATGGACCAGAGCTGTGTGAAGCAGCACACACACATCACCTCACTTAGGCTCGACAGCAGCCCCGCGCACCTGGGACAGATGAGGGAGCAGAGGCCCAGAGGAGGCCAGCATCTCACCTGAGGCCACACGGCCAGCACACAGCAGAGCCAGAACTCCAACCCAGAGAGTCCAGGCCAGGGCCCGTGGTTGCAGCCACTGTGCCCCAGGCCTGCCCATCCTGGGCATCCCCCGTGCCCAGGTTCTAGCTCCTCCCATCCTCTGGCCCGGGGGGCGCTCGGGACCCCAGAGAGGCCTCCAGGAGCGGTGTCCCTGGCACCCTCAGCTCCCCTGGCTGGAGCCAGCTCGCACTCACCTTTCTCTCTCAGGTACGTCACTGTGTACCTCAGCACGGGGGGGATGAGTTCACCTTGATTTTTGTCTTTGAGGCTGAGGGCAGAGAGAAGAAGGCAGCAGTTTTCACCTGGGTGTGACAGGTGATCGTGATAAGAACGAGGTCCTCACCAAACCTCTGAGAAAACATGGGCCCGAGATGCTGTGCAGGGAGAGAAAGAGGTGGCCTGGGCCCCAAGGAGGCAAGTAGTCTGGTGGCCGAGAGAGGCAGAAATAATAAAAACGATGGTGCGTTATCTGAGCGCTCCACCAGGAGGGTGCACATGCTATGCAGGAGCTCTGCGGTTGGGGAGGGCTCCACACGGGGCAACTTCTGAGCTGGGTTTTGAGGGATGAGTAGGAGGTTGCAGGGAACAAAAGAGGAAAGGGCATTCCAGGCAGAAGGAAACACACAGAAGAAGGCCCAGAGGTGGAGAAGGTCTGGCTGTGGAAGCAGAACCAGGAGACCTAATCAATCAAAAGAGATGCTGTGTGAAGACCAAGCACATTGCTTCAGACAGGCTGATAACACTCAGTCTCTTATGTAGTAATCTGATACAGAGATTCAGGAAACTTTAAATGCTTTAAAGATAAGGAAACTTTAAAACACAGGTACAATTATATGAATGGCCCTGCCAGCCCCACCTCCTCACACCCCAGCTCAACTGGCAGAGTCAGAAATCTGAAGCCACAGCCTCCTACACTGACCCATTCTATGGAACCCTGGGCTCCCTCTAAACATGTTTGCTTCTCTCTTTCCTCATCTGCTGGATTTTCTTGCCCCAAAGGCAGCATATTTGAGAGACTGGGCTAAGTTGGTCCAGGCTCCTCTGTCCGTGGAATTCTCCAGGCGAGAATGCTGGAGTGGGTTGCCATTTCCTCCTCCAGGGGATCTTCCCAACCCAGGGATCAAACCCAGTCTCCTGCATTGCAGGCAGTTTCTTTACCATCTGAGGCACCAGGGAAGCCCCCGGCTAGACTGAGGGGCCAGGGCTCTGAAGTCACACATTCCTGGCTGGGATCCCGCCCTGCCACTTTTTAACTGGGCAGAATATGTTTTGCTGTTCCTAGGATGCCTGCTCTTTAAATGTCAGCTGGGTTAATTTGACTGATTGTGTTGCTCAAGCTTTCTAGACTATTGTTGCTGTCTGCTTGTTCCACCAACTATACCGAGCAGGGTACTAGGGTCTCCTACCAGGATTGTGTGTCTGCTTCTCCTTTGGCTCCCCCAGATTTTGTTGCATGTATTTTAAAGCTGTTACTAGTGAATAAACTCTTAAGATTAACTTCTTTATTATTACAAAATGTTCCTCGCTACACCACAGAAATCAGGATACACCACAAAACGGTTGTTGTTTGAAGCTTGGTGCTGGGGGAACTTATGATGTAGCCACAGATTAGGGGAAAACGTGGTCACAGGTGGATAGAGCAGGGACTCAGACCCACGAGTCTGAGCCTGGAACCCTCGCTCTTAAATATTATCTACTTAATTTCCATTGCACTTTTGCTAGCCCCAGTCAGAGATGGGGGATGGACACTGGGAAAGTCCACGTGACCGGCTTAAGGTCCCACAGCCAAGAGATGGCTGAGCTGGGGGCAAGGTGGCCACGACCCAGATGCATGCTCCTTCCGTAGCGATTCATCGGGTGGACATGATATCCTTCCTGCTTTCCATTTCACTCTGAGATTTACGGAGGACCCGAGCATGAACACGTGGGCTTCCCAGGTGGCGCTGATGGTAAAGAATCCACCTGCCAATGCAGGAGATACAACAGACGTGGGTTCAATCCCTGGTCAGGAAGATCCCCTGGAGGAGGAAGTGGCACCCTACTCCAGTATTCTTGCCTGGAAAATTCCATGGGCAGAGGAGCCTGGTGGGCTACAGTCCATGTGGCCACGAAGAACTGGGCACAATTGAGCAAGCACAAACAAGGGCACCAGGAAAACCGCATCACCAGCCGCGACAGGCCTTTGCAGGCCCTGATCTCCTCGGAAAGCTGGGTTTACTGCTGATTCCACTTCTACTGAAGCTTGTCCCACCAGGACTCCAAACAATAAGCCAGTTGGCAAATGGGCCCAAAGGATGGTCTCTGCTTTCAGGAGGTCATGCTACCATAAGGATGCAAGCTGGACACGCCCCACCGCTTCCCTAACTTGATTCCCTGTGTGTCCCCTCTGAGTGGGAGGACACGGCCTGGGGCCCAAGTAGCGTCCAGCAGGTGTCCCCGCTGCACCCCGGGGAGGAGCGTGGTGGATGGGTCCTTTTCTCCCAGGACACTCCAAAGCTGCAGACTCTCCTCCTCCTCCATTTACTCTGGGAACCACACAGATCTACACAAGTCCTAGGAACTGGGTGACCCACAGCCTGTCTCTGAGCCTCCCCAGCCTCAGTTTCCCCACATGGCAAACAGAGATGTTGGCAACCTCCCTCCAGGGAGAGCTGCAAGTCATAAACAGTGAAAGACGGGAAAAGCTTTGAGCTGTAAGTCAAAGACACTGATAATTAAAATCACTGCAATGCTGAGGGCTGGGTGACGTCCCAGGCCAGACGCAGAGGGCCCATTACACGGACGGAGAACTGGGACCAGTGTGCTTGTGAATAGACACAGAATCCTCAACAAAATATTAGCCATGCAAATTCAGCGACGTGTGAAAAGATGACATACCATGAGCACATGTGATCTATCCCAAGAATACAAGGCTTGTTCAACACATGCAAATCAATCAGTGTAAAGTCACATTAATGGAATAAATGACAGAAGTCATGTGATCTCTCAACAGAGCAAAAAAAGCATCTGACAAAATCTAACACCATTTCATGAAAGAAAAAAAACCCAACACTCCACAGAGTAGCCACAGAAGGGATTTTCCTCAACCTGATCGAGGGAATCTATGAAAAACTAGCTTTATCCTTAATGGTAAAGAGACTGAAAGCTCCCCACTAAGATCGGTAACAAAACAAGGATGTCCATGCTTGTCACTTCTATTCAACATTGTACTGGAGGGCATAGCCAGTGCGACCAGGCAAGAAAAGGAAATAAAAGGCATCCAAGTTGGAAAAGAATAAGTATAACTATCTCTATTTGCAGATGGCATGATCTTGGATATGGAAAATACTAAAAAAAAAAATTTCACGAAAAAACCTATTAGAATAAATGAGTTCAACTAGATTGCAGGATATAGAATCAGCATACAAAAATCAATTGTATTTCTATACACTAGCAATGAACAATTAAAAATGAAATTAAGAGAGCAATTTGATTTACAATAGTATCACAAAGAATAAGAACTAAATAAATTTAATAAAAATGTACACAACTGCTACACGGAAAACTATAAAACATTTTTGACAGGAATTTAAAGATTCAAATAAATGGTAAGACATCCTTGCTTTTGAATTGGAAAGAACTTGCCTTGTCAATGCAGGAGACATAAGAGACTCAAGTTTGATCCCTGGGTTGGGAAGATCCCCTGAAGGAGGGCATGGCCACCCGCTCCATATTCTTGCCTGGAGAATCCCATGGACAGAGGAGCCTGGCAGGCTACAGTCCATGGGGTCACATAGAGTCGGACACAACTGAAGCAACTTAGCTCATAGCACACTATTAAAATGGCAATAACCCCCAAATTAGCTTACTGACATGGCACAGTCCCTATTGAAATTCCAATTGCTTTTTTTCTTTTTTTGCAGAAATTGGCAAGCTGATTCTAAAATTAATAAAGAAATTCAAGGGACTCAGGAGAGCTGAAATAATCTTCAAAAAGAAAAACAAAACTGGAAGACTCACACTTCCCAATTGCAAAACTTACCATAAATCTACAACAATAAAGATCACGTAGCACCAGCTTACAAATCAATGGAATAGCATCAAGAGTCCAATATATACCCTCATATGCCTGGTCAATTAGTTCTTTACAAGGTGTGTCAAGGCAATTCCATGGGGGCAAGTATAGCCTTCTCAACAAATGATTCTTGCCTGTGTGGAGTATCAGGGAAGGCTTCCTGGAGGAGGGGATTAGAAGGAATAAGAGTAGGCAATGAACTGGGCCGCAGGAACTGCTCACATTGCCTGCACATTCTATTAAGACCCCATGACCCTGGAGGGTACAGAGAGCAGGGTCTCACCTGCAGTTAGAGGGGAAGGTGCTAGGGTGAGAAGTTACATCACAAGCTTGCCTTCCCAAAGCTGGAAAATGCTAGAGCTGGGATGTGACCTGCCTCCCCTCCCCTGCTCCTGGAACCCCTCCCTTTTTCCATCCCAACTGCCCAGTTCAGAGCTGTTTCCATTGTCCCTCCTCAGGGATGGCATGGAAGGCAGGCAAAGACTACTTGAATCTCTGACTTCCCTTTAATATATTAACTTAATTAGCTTGTGCTAAGGTGATTACGTTCTGTTGTGTGTTTTTGAACTTAACTCAGCGAATTAACACTTGTGAATAGGATCTGCTTATGAATTTTAATGACTTTCATTCATTCACAGTCCAAACAAATTACATATTTGGTGCTTTATTTAATATGTTTATTGCCATTTTATTATAGTCATTCGCAATGAAACAGCATAAAATATTAATTTAAAGAGGCAATCGCATGGATTAGCTCTCAAAGTGGCACGTGCAGAATGGTTTTCAGAGGTTGCCCAACGATAGTCACCATTCATTCCCTAAAGACGTAATGAACTGACATGAATAGAGACAACTGGTTCTGGAGCAGGGCTGGACCACAGCCTTTATACTGGATATCCCCAGCATCTGCTGGCAGCTCTGGGGCTGAAATGCTGCATCGGCACCTTCCAAAAGGCACCTGCTTGAAACATAAGGCCAAGGTGCCCTGGTGAACTTCATAGGCCGAGCGGTGCTCAAATCACAAACACCGCACACACACACACACACACACTGTACTCAAGCAGATGGTTTCAGAAGTCCACGAGCTGGGTGAGTTTTTGCTTTTTGTTTTTAATTTTTAAAGCTTTGTTAGATGATAAGGAGATTTCCCTGGTAGCTCAGACGGTATAAAGAATCTGCCTGCGATGCAGGAGAGCTGGGTTCAATCCCTGAGGTGGGAAGATCTCCTGAAGGAGAGCATATTACGACTCGGTCGTGTGTGACTCTGCGATCTGATAGACTGTAGCCTACCAGGTTCCTCCATCCGTGGAATTTTCCAGGCAAGAATACTGGAGTGGGTTGCCATTTGAATCTCCAGGGATCTTCCTGACCCAAGGATCGAACCCCGTTTTCTGCATTGCAGGCAGATGCTTTATCCTCTGAGCCACAAGGGAAGCCCAGGTGACAAGGAGACTTACCTGGTGGCTCAGATGGCATAAAGAATCCACCTGCAATGCAGGAGATTTGGGTTCAATCCTGGGGTCGGCAAGATCCCCTGAAGGGAATGGCAACCCACTCCAGGTATTCTTGCCTGGAAAATTCCACGGATGGAGGAGCCTGGCGGGTTACAGCCTGTGGGGTTGCAAAGAGTTGGACAAGACTGAGTGATTGAGACTTTGACACTTGCACTTTTCAAGGAGTGATTCTGAACAACAAAATGGGCAACGCAGAGAGTGCCAATGCCGCCAATGCCGGCGGCCTTGCACGCCACCCTGGACCCCAGATATCAGCTCACACCCAGCTCCGGACCAGGGCGGCAAGCTCAGGGCTGGGCTGAAAGCACAGAGCCCACGGCAGAAGCCTCGGTAAAGCAGTCACCAGGGCCCTCCTCTGAGAGCCGAGTTCTCACCAGCGCCCCCCCGAGAGGGAGCCAGAGTCACAGCAGGTGTGTCCCCGGTCTTGCCTTCCTGGGGCAGTTAGGGGGTGGCAGGGGTCACACCAGCACACCTTTACATGTTTAAAAGCGGAAAAGGAAGTGCTGTTCGCTAAACTTTGCTCCAGATGTATTTATGGAGATCGTATATGAACACACGGTATATTCCCTTTTGTTGTTCAGTCGCTGAGTCGTGTCCGACTCCTTGCAACCCCATGAACTGCAGAACGCCAGGCTTCCCTGTCCTTCACTATCTCCCGAATTTGCTCAAACTCACGTGCATTGAGTCGGTGATGCCATCTAACCGTCTCACTCTCTGCCGCCCTCTTCTCCGTTTGCCTTCAACCTTCCCCAGTCGCTAAGTGCTCACAAAAAACCGATTTGAGGGAGCAGCGCTGTGTGCGTGTGTCTGACTATGGCGGGGGGGGGCACTGACACCCCGCAGCCTCCCACCCTGCCCACCAGGCGGCGAGCGGCCACCTAAACCGAAATCAGCTCAAGGCAAATGAAGTGATAAACTCGGTGCCTCTCCTGCACCGCTCAACCGTCACCTGTGGACAGTACAGACCATGGCCACCATTGTAGAAGGTTCTGGAAAACAACAGCCCCTTCTGGCTGCTGGGACACACCCACGGTGCCACTTCCGCCTCCTTACCTGGCCTGGGCACTGCCCAGAGCCTCCTCAGCTCCTGACCTTTCAGCGTCTTAACAGCCAGCACGGGTCTTAAAGATCACGGGGTTTTTATACAGAGACAGATCACACGGCATGTTCCTAACAACAAACAACAAGTGAAGTCGGGCAGACTGCTCCCCGGGGCCCACCACCTCCAGGCCCTGGTTTTCCTACACGCCGTGCAGCTCAGACCCAACTGCCCCACAGGCATGCGGTTAAAACAGCCCCTTCATCTTCCGTCATTTCAGCTGCCTCTCACCTGGCCAGCTGCCGGAAGCAGAGACTAGGAGGAGGACAAGGAGCTCGCTCTGGGCAGCGCACAGAGCCCGAAGGACTCCCCCATGGCACCTGCTCAGAGCAGGGCTGCAATGGAGCGAGGCCTTATATGCAGTCTAGAGCATCAGGGAAGGCTTCCTGGAGGAGGCACCACTCTGACGAGTCTTAAAAGGGATGAAGTCGGCCTGGACGGGAGGCTCAGAATCCTCTCCAAGGAGTAAAGATTAAAGATCACATCATGAAAAAACTCACCGAGTTTAGAAATGGAAAACAAGCTGAGAGGGGGTGTGAGCTCAAGGTTCATGTGGCTAATAAGGGTGATATGAGGCAGGAAGGGAAGGATACACTGCGGGAACATCAGTCCTTATAGCCCGGTGGCTGAGCCCCACGGGGGGTCACTCCCCACTTGGGCAGCCCCATGCCGTGGGCGTCAGTGGGAGGGGCCGGTCACCAAGGAAGCGGGCCAGCCAGACATCATGTCCACCCTGCCTCCGTCACCACGAGAGACAAACTGGAAACCAGCCCCTAAAGTTCCCTCCAGGACGTGACCTGCCCCGCGGCCGCTCCTGACTCCTTGGCCAGAGCAAAGCACGTGGCCAAGCTTCACGTGGAAAGTGAAGGGAGGCGTCCGGGCTGTGGCCTGGGGATACAGAACCAGAACTGCCCACTGAGCAGTGATGATGAAGACTGAGGCAAGGAGCCCACCACCCCCACCCCCAGTCCCTCCTGGCCCACGGCTGGCTGCTCTGCACACAGCACACAGACATACACAGTGGCGGGCACTCTGGCCTCGTGGAAAGCTCACAGGTCAGTTTCCCCGAAGGCTTAAGCTCAGCTGCAGAGGCCGAGGTCTGGGGAGAACCCCTCACTGCCGGCACACAGATGCATCCCACGGTCCCAGGAAACAAGGCAGACCCTGTCCCCGCTCACTTACTATTGCAGACTGACGCCGAATTGCTGGGTGGGCAGAGGGGGCCGTGGTGGGGGTGTCTTGGTGGGAGGGGGCAGCCTGCCGGCGTGCAGGTTCCGAAGTTCCTCGTCGTATCTGTGGACACAACAGAAGCTCCGCTGTCAGCCGGCAGGGGTGCAGCCTCGGGCCCCAAGGTGCTGCCGGGTCACACGCCCCACAAGCATCTTCATCCCTTTTAAGACTCATCACAGTGGTACCTCCTCCAGGAAGCCTTCTCTGATGCTCTAGGGAGCATCTCGGGTCACACGCCCCTCAAGCATCTGCAGGATGGGACCCTGGGCGTCCCATCCTTCCAGGCCCACATCTCAGTCTTGCACACGCATACATAGACACACGCACCCTCACAAGCCCCTATAGCCATGGGCATTCACACAAAAGCCAGCCAGAGCAATCCAACGTCTGTCAAACAGCCATCCTCTCCTGCCAACCCCTAGCTGACACTTTACCCACGTGTCTACACGAGAGCTTCCCTCTGCTGGAAAGGGATTCTTCCCTGAACTCTCAATCTAGCCAATGGTCCCTTCAAAACTCACTTCAGGAGTCACCTCCTCCTGGAAGCCTCCCCTGGTATTCCTTCCTCACAAGTCCCCTCCCCAGCTGGGTTCAGCACGTCTTTCGGGGACTTGTGGCCCCATTACCCGAGAGTGTCCTGAGGGCGGATGCACTCCCTATGGCGCTCTATATCCCCAGCTCCTGTCATGGGACTTGGGGCCCAGAGGGAGGGAGCCACCTCCACTCCCCCTGCAGGGCTTCCTCAAAGGAGCCCCCCCGAGAGCGGGATGCAGAGGGCAGAAGGGCGTGGGGCAGGGCTCAGAGACTGGGCTCCATTTGGGCTGATGGAGGGGCCCTGGGCTGACCACACGCCTTCCTGGGCTCCCTCCCGCTACTGAGCCCCTGTTGGAGGAGGGGACTGCTGCCTAGAAGACAAAGCAGCAGACCCATCAGCTAAACTTCCACCCAGAAGCACCAGGCCGGCGGTTCTGAGAACACTTGCCCCAGTCCTGGGAGTGTTTGACGCCACACGCGCGTCATCCACACACCCCAGAAAGTCCCTCATTCTCCGCCCCGAAGCCAAACTGGCCAACACCACGGCAGCAAACAGCAGTTACCAGCGCGGCTTATTTGTTTAATCAGTTTTGCAGCGGTGGGTGAGAGAAACATCTCATCCGTGTATGTACACAGCCATCCCCGCCTTGCCTCTCTGAGTCAGCAGTCAGCATCTTTTACGGTGCATCCTTGTGGAGGCGGCGGATTCAGGAACCGGATCCGGCCATGCACACGAATGGAAATGAAGCTTTCAACGTGAGGGGAGGCAGGGCTGGGCGGGTGTGGACGGTGCAGTGGTCTCACTCACCGCAGAACCTCCTGGGGGATGCTCAACTGGTCACATTTGAGGTGTTCACGGAGCTCGCTCAGATAGTTGAAATAGGTGACTTTTTTCCCAAACTTGTGACTAAAAAAGAAAAAAGACAGAAGAAAGTTGAAAAAAAAAAAAAGATTAGGAGGCAGGAAAGAGGCCGGGAGGCCGGGGGGAGCGGGCTGCCGGGCGGGAGCCCTGGAGCAAACAGCCTGGCATTTTTCATGTTAAAGAAGCATAAATGCTGACACCACCCAAACGCAGAGCAGAGCGGAGGCAGCGCACATCTGCCAAATGCTCTGCTTCCATCCGACCTCAGACGCACCCAGCCTGCTGGAGAGCCTCATTGGCATAAAATCAGTGTCTGCCTCCAGGGTGGGCGGCTGGGAACCTGCGGGCCACACGCAGAGTGGGTCCCGGCGCCAGGCTTCTGGGGTCGGCGGTGGCCTCAGCTTCGAACATCCCACCAGGCTTCTCTCTACGAAGCTAGAGTCACCTCCCCGCAACTGTGGGGACCAAGCAAGACACCCTCCAATTTCCATCTAGGACAGTCACTCTTGGGGCCCGTGATGGCGTGAGGATGACGACACAGACAAGCCCTGGCTGAAGCCACTTGCTTCCCGTCGAAAGCGGGGTTCCCTGATGCAGAGAGTGCGACGGTCTACATGAACCAGCCCGCTGTCTGGTGCCTGGCGGGCGGTGCGGCCTGGGACCATCACTAACAACGAGACTCGGGACTTCCCTGGCGGTCCAGGGGTTAGGATGCTGGGCTTCCACTGCAGGGGGCGCAGGTTCGATCCCTGGGTCAGGAACTAAGACCCGCATGCCTCATGGCTTGGCAAAAAAAAAGTTTTTAAATTAAAAAATATATATATTGGACTTCTCTGGTGGCTCAGTGGTAAGGAATCTGACTGCTAAAGTAAGAGACACGGGTTCGATCCCTAATCTGGGAGGAACCCACAAGCCTCAGATCGATTAGGCCCGGGCGCCACGACTATTGAGCTTGTGCCCAAAGCCCGGGAGCTGCAACTAGTACTAAAGCACAAGCACCCGAGAGCCTGTGCGACGAGAAGCCACAGCAACGAGAAGCCCGCACATCGCAACAGAGAGCAACCCCCACCGGCCACAGCCAGAGAGAGCTGGAGCAGCAAGGGAGGCCCAGCATGGCCAAAAGTAAGTAACTGATTAAAAAAAGCACCAAGCTTCAGGTTCCCCAGCCGCAAAGTGAGGAGAAGCAGAGGACGCTGGGCTGGGTGAGAAGGCCCCTGCTGGGCCCAGACGACCCCCGTGACACCATCCGCCCGCTCCGCTGCTTACAGCTTCACCGCTGTGTCCCCGACGCCCGCACGGCTGGACGGATTTCACCTGCACCAGTCGATGAGCTTGCACACGTCATACACTGCGAAACCATCCCACAGCCAGGTCACAACGTGACCATCGCCCCGAGAGGCTTCCGTGTGCCCCTTGGCTGTGCGTGCGTGTGTGCACGTGCGTGGTGAGAACACTCGCCCGAGGTGTGCCCTCTCCAGGACTTCTCCAGTAGGTGACACCACGCCATCAGCCTCCCAGAACCCAAGCAGCTGCCTTATCCCAGACCCACCGGAGCCCGGAGCCCACGGGAGGCCGAGCCGCGGGCACCGGCTGCCCCCTAGTGGAGGAGAAGGAGGAGGCCCACCAGGTGCCCAGGCCCCCAGCCGTACCCACCCAGCTTCTGGGGTGACACTCATCTTGAGCGGCACACCAAGGCCAGGGGACCGAGCTGACCTGCACAAACCCTCCCTGCCCCGGAGAAGACAGCAGGGAGCTGGGCTCGGGCTGCCGGCACGCCACATGCCTTTTCCAGATCCTACCCGCATCTTATCCCTGTAAAGGCTGGAACCGTAAGTACGACAGCTTTCCTGAGTTCTGGGAGTGCTCATGGGGAGTCCCTGACCTGAGGCAGCCTCACGACCCCGACACAGATACATGATGTGGGTGCTCAGGAAAAGGGGGCTATAAAAGGTCGGAGCTGACCTCACTGGGGTCGCGAGCCGAGGCTCCTGTTCGTGACCGTCAGCCCTGTGATCCGACACAGCCGGGGGGCGGGCGATTACCCCAGAGCAGGATTGCCTGGGTGCCCGGATGGGCCGGGCTGTCTGACCTCGGGGAGACCCCCACGGAGAGCGGCTCGTACCTGACAAGGGGCTTCAGGATGGTCCACAGGATTTTGATGAAGTTGGTGGGGTGCACGACATACAGGGCCTTCAGGTTCTTCTTGTACCTGAGGAGGGAAACGGAGGAGGTCTCAGAGCACGCACACAGAGACACCCTGGGCTGGAAAAGGAACTGCAGCGCGGTGGCCTTGACAGCGAGTCTCAGAACCTTCCATTCCTTTTTTTTTCTTTTTTATATTTTATTTATCTACTTATTCGGCTGCCTTGGGTCTTCGTTGCAGCGTGCAGGCTTAGTTGCTCCAGGGCATGTGGGATCTTAGTTCCCTGACCAGGAATCAAACCCTAGAACTTCAGCTTGGAAGGCGGATTCTTAAACCCTGGACCACCAGGACAGTCCCAACCTTCTGTTTCTGGACAGTCGATTTAAGGACATAGAAGGAGAAAATGAGGACCCCACGCCCATCACTGGCAGTGTGCACACGGCACTTTACAGTTTGCAAGATCAGAGCCCCCCACTCATAGATGCTCACACCGGGGCTGGGGGCGGGGACACACTGGCAACTTGGCAACAACCCCTGCTCCGCAGGGAACTGGCCTGGGTGAGGGTGGAGCCGCGACCCCCCAACCTCCATCATGCGACAGCACTAGGCACCCCCTTCAATGAGGTGCTTCTTAGCCGACTTCCCTTCCTCTTTCGTGGTTAATTCAGTCCAGAGCCATCAGGCAGAGCCAAGAAGGTTGGCGTCCACCCAGGGCTGGACGGAGGGGGCGGGCCCGCTGGGGTCTGTGACGCCAGCAAGGGGCTGGCAGCCTGGTGGGGAGGGGGTGTCCCAGAGGGAGAAGGGCGTCCACACTTGGGTCGGCCAGGGACACCCTCAAGCCAGCTCTTTGCCCTTCAAAGAGCCGACTGCCAGAATTTCAGCCATTCGGGGAGCCAGCTGTGAAAAACAGCCGTTATTCAATAACGTCAACTCACAATTAAGTAAATCATATGAAACACAAAGGTCACGACACAAACGGTCCAACCTCACTGACTCCTGATCACTCCATGACATTTACTATCTGCTGTGCCCCTGGGCTCCTTTGCCTGTTACATCCCAGGGGTGGGAGGGCCCACAAGAAGGGATAGCCACCATCTCCTCCCAGTTCCGTGTCCAGCAGGGCCACGTAGGCCACTTGGAACTGGTCGCAGTTGCAGGACTGATACCACGGGAATCTGCAAACATCACCCATCAGTCTCCCCAAGTCCCCGGGAGCTGATTGGTAAGGCAGACGCGAGCGAGGGGGGTGGACAGGAAGTCCAGCACGAGGTGTCTGTGCCCAGGCAGGCAGAGGACGGTGGGGGCTGAGAAGGGACCCGGCATTTGCAACCAACTGTGGGAGCAAGAAGGGGGCAGCCACGGCGGCCTGGTGTGGGCATCAGCCCAGGGGACACGGGCAGGAGCGGTGTGGGGGCGGGGCAGCCCCGGCGGTAACAGAGCCTCGGTGAGTGAGAGGTGGCCTTGCAATCAGCCACAGGCAGGCCAAGTAGGAGCGGTGGGTTCCCAGGCGGCACAGTGGCAAAGAATCCCCCTGCCAGCGCAGAAGACACAAAGAGACGTGGGTTCAACCCCCGGGTCTGGAAGATCCCCTGCAGGAGGAAATGGCAACCCACTCCAGTATTCTTGCTGGGAAATCCCATGGACAGAGGAGCCTGGCGGGCTACAGTCCGCGGGGTGGCAGAGAGTCAGACCCCACTGAGCGCCCGAGCACGCACAAAGGCAGCGGGAGCCAGGCTCTTACTGGTGAAGAGAGGTTACGAATGCAGGGAGGGGGAAAGTAGAATGAGCCCTGGTGGGAAAGGATGGGAACTAGTATAGATGTCGGTGTGAACACGCAGGTACCAGGAGAAACAGGTAAATGCAAACATGACGGACATTGATGTGTGCGTGCACGTGTGTCTGTGTATATGCACGCACACACACCGCAACTGTCTGCTGACTTGCCTGTGAGCCCTGACAGCCCAACAGCAACTAACACGCTGCTTCCGGGGCCGGGTTCCTAGGACCGTCCGCCCTGAACGGAACCAAGGCCCAGAGAAACGGCGGATTCCTGGGCTGGTGCGCGCGCGTGTCTGCCAAGCTGCTTTTAGTCATGTCCGACTCTGCGTCCCCATGGACTGTAGCCCGCCCGGCTCCTCTGTCCATGGGATTCTCCGGGCAAGAATACTGGAGTGGGTTGCCATGTCCTCCTCCAGGAAATCTTCCCGACCTGGAGATCAAACCTGCATCTCTTACATCCCCTGCAGTGGCAAGCGGGTTCTTTACCACTAGCGCCACCTAGGAAGCCACCTGGGATGTGCCCAGAGCATCTCATTGTCCTAGAAAGTAAAGGAGGTGCTCGGAGGGACAGGGACGTGTCTGTGGGACACAGGAGCCAGGCTGACGCTCACCTGGCCAAGTTTCAACAATTTGAGTGTTAGGATAAATATAGTCATGGATTATAAACTATTGAATAAAATGGGAGATCCCAAGTCCATACGGATATAAATAAACCAAAAGAGAAAGCTCTTCGATAAAGTAAAATGCCAACTAAGAGTCCCAGTCACCATTAGCTACCCATCTTAATAATAATTAAGCCAAAAAATGGCAAGGGAGGCAAAAGTTAGCACATAAAACTGATATTTATACAGTCTCAGAGTATCTCCCGAAGGAATATTAATTAATTACCAGAAATAAAAAAACAGTCTTGTGATTCAGAAGGAGGAAGTTGCAGTGACTTTCAGGTGGTCCAAGGACCCAGAGCACAGATGTTACAAAGTCCATCCCTATAGGAAGGTGGGTTCTATTAGGTGTCACCCACGGCAGGAGCACCGGCACCCCTAGAAGGGGGTCACGTACATCCCTGGGTGGATGGTTCTTCCTTAAAGGAGCAACCTGGCAGAACAGTTTGGAAGATGAGAAGTCAAAAGCAGAGAGAATAGAAAAAGATGCAGGAAACCCACTGTATCCTTGTAGTGATGTTGGTAATGGTGGATGGAAAATCCTTGCTGTATATTCGCATCCAATTCAATTTGGAGCTCTGCTTACATACCTCCACTGATGGGGAACTCACTACCTCTAGCAGGCACTCCACTACTAGGTGGATTTGAAGCCTAGGATGCCCCTCCTTAGGGGACATATAGCCAAGATCTATAATTCTATCTTGGCATATAGCCAAGATCTATAATTCTACTCTTTCCCCCAGTCCACCTTTAAGAGAAGTGAGAGAAACAAAATAAGTTCACTACCTTTCATTTGAAAATTTATCTGTTTTAGCTCAAGACAGGCATACACACATATCCTTCCACTGTCAGCCTGAGCTTATGGAAAAGATCTCTTTGAACATGCTATGTGCTTCTTCTCAAGAATCACGGGGCTTCCCAGGTGGTGCTAGTTGTAAAGAACCTACCTGCCAATGCAGGAGATACAAGAGACACGGGTTCGACCCCTGGGTCAGGAAGATCCCCTGGAGAAGGAAAACGGCTACCCACTCCAGTATTCCTGCCTGGGAAATTCCATGGACTGAAGAGTCCGGCGGGCTACCGTCCATGGGGTCACAAAGAGTCGGACACCACTGAGCAGGCTTGCGTGGCTGCCCACTCCGCCCTAGATGACAGTGCTGGACAGAGGCCCCTGGCCCTGAGGGGCGGTCACCCTAATGCCCCGCCTAGCCCTTGGGGTCCCGCCCTCGCTTACAGCACAGCCAGAACCCCTCCTGTCACCTGAGCCTCCCCCTCACTCAGCCAGACACCTGAGGTTCCCCTTCACCCCACCCAAGGCTGGAGGGCACCCACCTCCTGTCAAACTCCTTGTAGGCGCTCTGGAGCCAGCGAAGGGACGGCTTGTTCCGGCTGCTCAGCCCGTAGTGGAAGTAGATGATGGTGTAATCGCTCTCCACGTACTGGTCCAGCATGTACTTCAAATACCTGGGCACGGAGCACAGGAAATGGTTGTGAACATCTCATGCTGATGGAAACCAAATATGCCTTCCCTGTAACGGAGCTGTGGGCACCCAGCGGGTGCCAACACCAGGCCATGCGGCGCGCTTCCAGGCCAACGCTGAGAATCCGCCTGCAGCGGGCCTGGTCCTCATTCCTTCCTCGTTCTTGTTTGGCTGTGCTGTGCTGCTTGCGGGATCTTGTGTGGCATCTGGGAGCTTAGTTCCCTGACCAGGGGTCGAAAACAAGCCCCCTGCATTGGGAGCACGGAGTTTTAACCACTGGACTGCCTGGAAGTCCCCTATTCTCATTTCTTAAATGATAACTAAGGCTCAGAGATGTTAAGTAACTTACCTAACTTTTCCCTCCCTCCACAGCCAGGGAGTAGAAGTGATGGCTTGAAAGTGGCCCCCAAAAGACTTCCAATGTCAAATCCCCAGAACCCACGAATGTGGCCTTACTTGGAAAAGGCTCTTGGTAGACGTGATTAAGACAAGGCTCATCAGAGCAGTTAATCCTGGATTATCCAGATCAGTTCAGTTGCTCAGTTGTGTCCGACTCTTTGCGACCCCATGGACTCCAGCATGCCAGGCCTCCCTGTCCATTGCCAACTCCTGGAGTTTACCCAAACTCATGTCCATTGAGTCGGTGATGCCATCCAACCATCTCATCCTCTGTCATCCCGTTCTCCTCCCGCCTTCAGTCTTTCCCAGCATCAGGGTCTTTTCCAATGAGTCAACTCTTTGCATGAGGTGGCCAAAGTATTGGAGTTTCTGTGCTAAAAGAATTAAATGCCAAATGTGCAATAATTTTGCTTTGAAGAGTTTAAATGCCTCATGAATTTTTTTTTCTAATTTTTCTGATAAAAAGATGTGAGACTAAATCTGAGCATGGTAAAAATGTCTTAACTGCATTTCTATCCTCAGTTTTTTTCTTACTGTACTATTTTTGCCTTTGTCTCTGACTGCTCAAACCATCCACCATCACATAATGTCATTGGTAAATTAAAAAATACATAAACTGAGCTAAATTTACCATATATGTAATGTCAAATACACACTAAATGGAAAATACATTAAACTCAACTGTGGTGAAATTTTAGCTACCTTCAGTAGCTAAAGCCGAGATACTGAAAACACTTGAGTCATTTTTACTGATGAACCACCACAAAAGAGAGTTGGATCCAGTTGAATTTAGTTGAAAGTCTTTTGAGGTAAGTTTTTTTTTTCATTTATTTTTATTAGTTGAAGGCTAATTACTTTACAACATTGCAGTGGTTTTTGTCATACATTGAAATGAATTAGCCATGGATTTACATGTATTCCCCATCCCGGTCCCCCCTCCCACCTCCCTCTCCACCCGATCCCTCTGGGTCTTCCCAGTGCACCAGGCCCGAGCACTTGTCTCATGCACCCAACCTGAGCTGGTTATCTGTTTCACCCTAGATAATATACATGTTTCAATGCTGTTCTCTTGAAACATCCCACCCTCGCCTTCTCCCAGAGTCCACAAGTCTGTTCTATACATCTGAGTCTCTTTTTCTGTTTTGCATATAG